TACACTACAGCGCCAGTGTACACGTGCACACCGCAGCTACCATGTGCAACACAGCGCCTGTGTACACCACAGTGCTTGCGTACACCGCAGCGCCTGTGCACGCCACAAAGCGCGCCTACACCACAACATCCACGTGCAACGCAGCGCTGCTGTACACCACAATGCCTGCGTGCATAGGACAGGTAGAAGGAGCATGTACGTAAGGATCTGCTGCGGGCAACTACACGCCACGCCAGGGAAGTTGTGATAATCGAATGCGACGTTTTTCCCTCCTCCCTGCTCCTCCACCTCCACCACCTCCTATTCCTCCTCCTTTTCCTCCTCTTCCTCCTCCTCTTCCTCCTCCTCCTCCTCCTCCTCCTCCTCCTCCTTCTCCTCCTCCTCCTCACCCCCTGTCGCGCGGTCTGGCGCTACAGCGCACGTTCGTATCCCAGCGCGCACCGCATAATGGTCAATTGAATCGGTCCGTTTAATTCTCGGACATGCAATTTACCTGGAGCCTCTTGGACGCAGATGGGAGGAGTTGAAGTGATGCGAGCAGACTCGAGAGGACTCGTAGATTCCAGCGGCGCTCCGTTGTCCATAAGGATTTGTTTATATTGTTTTCTGTGGAATTCACAAGAGCTCCATTTTGTCATAAGGATTTGTTCGAACATTCTATGTACAACAGTGGTGCTGTGTTGCACACGGTTGCTGTGGCGCACACAGGCGCCGTGGTGCACACAGGCACTGGAATGCACGCAGGCATTGTGGTGTACATTGGTGTTGCGTTGCACACGGCTAATGTGGTGCACGCAAAAGCTATAGTGTACACAACAGCTGTGATGCCCGCAGGCACGGTGGCGAAATACTAACGCTGTGTTGCACGCGGCTGCTGTGTTGTACATAGGCGGTGTGGTGTACACAGGCGCTGTGGCGCACGCAGGCACTGCGGTGTACATCGGCGTTGTGGTGCAAATCGCCACCTACATGCTGGCGCTACCCGTCCTGAGTCATTCCTACGCATTCCCATTCGCCGCCGGCGCGGAACGTGACGTCACCGACCCCCTTCCACCACCACCCTGGATGATTGCCGTCATCGGCCCGGAATAGAAAACACGCTTCAGCCGCGTCCGAGCGCACGACGACCATGAGCGACGAGCGACAAGCCACGGGCGACGACGACGACGACGACGACGACGACGACGACGACTGCGGACCATACTCCCGCGCGGATTTCTACACGAACACCTACGCGGATCCCAATGCGCACGGCAGCAGTGCCAGAGCACACTGAGCGGGGGGAGCATCACGTCATAGGGGGGGGGAGCGGGGGCCATGACGCCTGTCATGCCCCAAGCAAGAAAGAAACGGTCTCCAATGCGTCGCGACTACCGACAATGGAAGGCATCGAGCCGGCATCTGGCTGCTGTCAGCAACCACAACGAATCCAAATAGTAGAACAGCTTGCTGAAGACAGTGCTGCTGAAGATGTTGTGTTTCCGTCTCCCTCCAAGGGCTGCGTGTGATCAAAGTTTGTTCAGTTGCTTGAACAGCTTACTTGCCTCTCCCAATCTTCTGCATAGTTCCGCCGACGCTCTGCCGTCACATGCACGCAAACCTCCCAAATCTATACAACGCCCCGTACAATCTTTATGTCACCACCACTTGGTGTCGTAACTTGTTGATTCGTGGAGATCTGCACTTGTACTGTCTTCCCCCAATTTCGCTCCAAACCATAGTTGCGCCCCTCGTCAACGATAACGTTCAACATTTGCTGGAAGTTGGACTGGTATTGGGAGACTAACAATGTGTCTTCAGCAGAAAGAACGTCCCGGGTGACCGCGTAGCCGGGCTCCTCGTGCAGGTGTAGCGAGTCGACGGCGTCGTGCAACATGACAGTCTGGACTGCTATGAATAAGTATGGAGAAAGCGGACACCACTAGGCGATTCAGGCGTTCTGCCGTCTCTCGATGGAGGTGCCAGTGTGGTCTTGGATGGCAAAGAAGCGGGACGAGTAAATAGAGTGCACCATTTCCACTATCTCGGCAGGGAGTCCAAATCTCAACAAAGCGTTGCACATAGAGTCTGGTTTTAACCCGTCGGACGCTTTTGCACAGTCCAGCATCAACACCAAAAGTCCCCCATCCAGATTCGAATGTGCAGCATCCGTCATGCGTCTCACAAGCATCAGGGCGTCTGCTGTTCCACATCCTGGGCGAAAGACGTATTGAGAGCCACGCATGCGTGTTTCGGAACCCCCTTGCAGCAACCTCTGGTGTATCAGTGCCGCCAGAATCTTGAATCCAACAGTAATGACATTGGTCTGCAATTTTCCGGTAAAGCTGCATCCCCCTTCTTGAAAAGAAAAACTACTTTGGCTCGCCTCCGGAAATCCGGAATAGATTTCTTATCCCAGCACTGCTGACATAAACGTAGACGGGATACAAGGCTGACAACAATTATTTGTTCGATTTTGCTTTTTGGCATATGCCATGTGCCATTGTCTATGTTCGTGCTTCCCGATCGCTGCCATGGCAGGGGTGCACACACGGGCGCCAGGCACACCGCGGGGAGGTGGAACGAACGCTTCCCGCCGCCTCCTCAGCCCTCTGCACGAGATGGACGACGGTGTGCCCAACGCGGAGGCGCACGGCATCGCGACACCAAAATACACCCTGCGGATGCAGTTCTGGCTCGCGCCCGCCGGCACTCGAGGAGATCGCGAATCTTCTCAGGCAGGAGGCTCGGCCACTCCGGACAGCGATTGTCAAGCTCGAGGGCCGCTTCGATCAGTTCGAGGGTGCGCTTGGGTCACGGATGGAGTCGGTGGAGAAGGTCGGAAGCATGGAGGAGAGGATCGAGGAGACGGAGAAGATGCGCACCACGAACATCGGAAATAATGTCGATGCGCAGGGGGCGCCCCGATCTGACCTGAGCGCCAAGGAACTCTGAGACCAGGTCAAGGAGCGATCTGAAGGGCCTCCGAGCGAGGGCGTGAGGGAGCGCTGGGAAGCGGGGTAAGCGAGAACGCCTAAATCCTTCAAAAACCAGTGGAAAAGTATTGAATCTTGCCTCCTAGGGCCCTCTTGGGGAGCCTCTTGAGTCCGTCTGGAGGTGCTAGTCTCGATGCTGAAGCTTGCCAGCCCCATGGACCCTGTGAGCGCCGGCATGGCGAAAATGCTCTTGACCGGCGGGCTGCAGGCAATGGCGCCGGCCTGGGCGAGGTGCAGACATGAGTGGAGGCGAAGTTGTTGGGCGCGTACGGCCCACAACCCGACGAGGTACACCTGAAAATCGATGTTCAAGGAATGGCTTTCGCAAAATTCTCGAATACCAGGGACCGCGACGAGGCGGGCAAGCTATTTTAGAAAACATCTGTCAGAGAGGGGGGCAACGGTGTGGGCGAAGCCAGACCAGACGTTGGAAAAGAGATTCCTCAAATCTCTGGCGTTCGGGTTGAAATACATCTTCAAGAATTAGGGGTACGAGGCAAAATCGGTTTGGGCTGATCCTGAAGTGGGGAAGCTTTGGCTGGGCGGTGATGTGGTGGCCCAGGCGTCCATCGACGGGAGGGCGCTCAAAGCAGAATACGGCCCTGGTTAGGAAAAATGGCTCAAAGACGCCGCACACCCCGATTTCTTCGACCTCTTATCGAGGTTGGCCGGCAAGCTCGGGAACACCGCCTCCAAAGGAGCTGGCACAGTAGGCGGCAAGGGAAAAGTCAAAATCCCGAGAGCAGGGACAACACCGATCGAGCAGTGCATGCAACACCCACGTTTGCAATGACACGGTTCTCTTTTCCCGCGGAAAAAACGCACGAATTTCTGGGGACGTTCGCCTGTCACAGCTGCTTGGGGAAGCTGCGGAAATCCACTAGGGTGCAGTGTGTTTCAGTGACACCTGGAGCCCGAATAGCGACTGTATTTTGGAAGGCGGGCACAGACTGAATTGCAGCCGAGAGGAATTCAAATGTTCAGGCGTTGCTGTGTAAATTCGTTAAAGATGGGTGCCATCAGTGGTTGGGTACAAGAGGATGTCTGATCGAATGTTGTATGTAGACCTTATTATTTCCAATCGTTCGTACAAGATGCTTGGCATATACTTGGCCCATTCTGGATATGACCGTGCATGTTTCGAGGAATGCTGGGATGACATTCGTGCTGCTGTCTGCGATGCTCATCATCATGGGCGGAGGTGCTTCCTGGGAGGCGATATCAATTCTGAGGTGAATCGGGGTTGGCGTGGAGATGCGCTGCAAGAGGCCTCAACAGAGCTTGGTCTGGACATTTGCAATGACCCAGATCATATGAAGCCAGAAGACGCGTGGACTTTCATAGGCTCCCTAGGCCAAAATCGAACGATCGACTATTGTTTGGTGTCCCCAGATCTCTCGGTCACGCATGTCTCGGCGGGTTCATTCTTAGATCTGGGATCCGACCACTGGGCTGTGTACTGCCGCGTCTCCATCCCGCCACCCACGAGAACATGGACGAAGAAACGCCGCAAAAACTTTCAAAATGTGGATTGGGGACGGTTTTCGTAGCCTGTTCGTAGCGGCTGCGCCAGTGGCGCCGACAACTTGCCCAGCCTGGAGTCCAAGCTTGTTGAGTGCGCAGAAGGCTCTCTGCACGCTTCCAGAGGATCTGCCGTGCGGCCGTGGGATACGCAACACCTCGAGGAGCTCAAAGGGCGAAGAAAACTGGCAACAAGTCCAGATTGGAGGCGGCGCTTGTCCCGGGCAATTTTCAGGCATACTCGTGCTCAGCTGAGGGCGCGGAGAGCCCAGCAAGCAAGGGAGCGTCTGTAAGAGTCCGATGATTTGGCAAGAACTCACATGTATCCCATCAAGCGCACGTGCGCCGCGCGCCCAGTTATGGCAAAGTGCGCAGAGCATTTGGCGCAAATATACTCCACGGAGACGTCCCCGCAATACGCCACGGAATGCTGGGTGCCTCACTTCATAGTCGCAGAAATTCTGAAAACCATATCGAATATGGTATTGTTAGTGCTCCGCCCAGGACGGTATCGTGCTGGAGATGTTTGTGCATGCCGGTGAGGCTGTGACTCGGCGATTGACGGGCATGCTCAACGATATGCTGGACGGAAGTAATATTCCAGACAGCCAGGTTGCGACTTGTTCATCGCCCTTGCACAAGGGGGGAGACGCGGAGGGGCCAAGCAATTGGAGGCCCATCGCGGTTCTGAGCGTCACATGCAAAAGCTTCGCGAGGGCCGTATATGACCGGATAAGTGGGCGCCTCGACTCTCAACAATCAGACGACCAATTTGGTTTCCGGCCAGCGCGTTCCACTCTACATGCTCTTACCGTGCTCGAGACTGTGGTCTCCAAGGGGATCGAGCGAACTGTTCCCGTCTGGGTGGTGAGCATTGATTTGCAAAACAAGCCTTCGATCGTGTGGAGCATGATGCGTTGTTCTGGTCACTGGAACAACAGGGTCTCGGCGAATATGTACATCTGCTCCAAAGGTTGCATGATGGACAAATTGGTCATGTCGGAGACCAACATTTTCAAATCAAGCAACGTGTCCGACAGGGTGACGTGTTAAGCCCCGTCTTGTTCAACGCGGCGCTGGAGGTTGCAATCAAGAGCTGGAAATCTGGGCTGGCCACAGAAAGGTTTGCTTTGACACCAGTTCCATGTGAGGCTCGGTTGACGAATGTTCGCTATGCGGGTGACCTTGTGTTTTTCGCACAATCATTGGACGAGGCTGTGTCCATGCTCGAATCACTGTCAGGTACGCTGGGCCGCTTTGGCCTGGAGCTGAACGCAAAGAAAACAAAAAACATGACGACGGAGCCCATTGAGCAGGATACGCAAAGATTCACAGAGCGCGGCACCACAGACATTCTGCAAGCGGGTTCAAGCACAAATGCCTCGGCAGATGCTTCACAGGTGACTTGGGGAAGCGTGCCCACGCAGCGGCCGCGCTTGGACGAAGTTCAATGCCTTTCAGCACGCGTTGACGAATAAACATGTCAGCATTTCTCTTTGTTCCAAGCTGTTTGAAGCAATTGTTACATCAACTGTGTGTTACTCCCTCGAAACCTGACCGCTGACGGAGTCTCTGGGCCGTCGCGTGGACATCGTGCAGCGACGCTTGCTGCGCCGCATGGTGGGGTGGATCTCGCACTCGGACGACACCTGGGAAGACCGAGGCCGCAGGATGGAGCTCCGGCTTAACGCAGCTTTGAACAGCTACATTTTGCACAATTGGAGCCACGAGATACGCGACAGGAAAGTCCACCTAATCGGGCAAGAACATGTTTGGCCGGCACTCGCACATCATGCTGCCGAGTGGCTGCCGCTGGTCTGCAGTGACCTGAACCAGGCGAACCCTATTCGGAGAAGAGGGACACCCGCCACGAGGTGAGACGACTGAGGGCAGGAGCCCAGGGGTCTGTTCGTTTTTGCTTCACCCTTCTCCTCCTCTTCCCTTATTTCTTGAAATGATGTCTGAACGCACATTTTTCAAGCTTCAAACCGTGCCCCGCATGGTGGCCGAACGCTGTTCGATCGGGCCCTAACGTAAACGTAACGGTGCTCAAGTGCTATGCCTGGTAGAGCTTGCCGATGACCCGCTTGGATTACCACCATGAGGTGCGGGCCCTACAGGGACGGGGCTCCCGCCCGAGACTTCCTGGCAGTTCGCTCACGGACAAGGTCCCCGCTGGAGACGTCCTCATGATGTGCCCCCTTGGGGCACTCCGAGGAACCGCTCGGACGACAACCATGAAGCGAGGGCCCCAAAGGGAGGCGGTGCCCGCCTGAGACGTCCTCAACGTTCACTCTCACAGACGAGACCCCCGCAAGAGACATCTTGACGATCTGCCTCCTCGGGGTGCTCAGGTGCGATGCCCTGTAGAGTTTGCCGATGAGTCAGTCGGTTGAATGACCAGCATGAAGTGCGGGCCCAATAGGGCGGTGGCTCCCGCTTGAGACTCCCTTGCAATCCACTCACAGACGAGATCCCCACTTGAGACATCCTCACGATGTGCCCCCTTGGGGTTCTCAAGTGCTACGCCTGGTAGAAAGTGCGGGTGACCCGCTGTGATCATCAGCATAAAGTGCGGGCCCCACAGGGAGGGGCTCCCTCTCGAGACTTCCAGCAAGGTGAGTACGTGAGTGTGTTTGTGTATAGTGTATCGTGATGATGAGTGACGATCAGTGATGAGTGGCGAAAGAAAGATGAGTAATGGTGATGGTGATGATGGTGCCGATGATGATGAATACTATGATGATGATGATGATGATGATGGTGATGGTGATGGTGATGGTGATGGTGATGGTGATGGTGATGGTGACGATGATGACGATGTGGTGATGAATGAGTCCGAGTGAGTGCGAGTGAGTATGTGGGTGTGGGTGTGCGGGATGGTGATGATGCATGATGCTGATGTACGAGATGATGATGATAATGATGCAGATGATGATGATGATGATGATGGTGATGATGATAATGATGATGATGGCGATGATGAGAAGGATGCAGATGCTACTGATGATGATGCTGGTGATGATGATGCTGATGATGCTGATGATGCTCATGATGATGGTAATGTTGATGTTGATGATGATGATGATGATGATGATGATGACGACGATGATGATGATGATGATGATGATGATGATGATGATGATGATGATGATGATGATGATGATGATGATGATGATGATGATGATGATGATGATGATGATGATGAGCGCTCCCGCAGCTAAACATAATGCCTTCATAAACTAGCGAAGAGGGGACTGGGGACGCGAGGGTGTAGTGCAGCATCCTTGATACATCCTGGGTTTACTCTGATCCTCATCGTCATACTCCTCATGCTCCTCATGCTCCTCCTCCTTCTCCTCCTTCACCTCCTCCTGCTCCTCCTCCTCCTCCCTATCCCTCGTCCGACGGGGAAGAGAGGGAGCGGGATGAGGAGGAGAAGGAGAAGGACGACGACGACGAGAACGAGGAAGAGGGGGAGAAGTAGAAGGAGGAAGAGGGGCATCGGCGGTTCAAAGATGGGGTCCTGAGGGATGGGGTCCTGAGGGCGAGGTGCCTTAAACGACGTAAATAAATGCACCCTTGGATCCCCTCCTGTACTCAGGTCCCAGTCCCTCAGGACCCCGTCTCTGAACCACCGCGAGCAGGAGTCCTGGAGAACGCCCCTCGCAGCAGACGCGGTCGAGGACGACGACGGCGCCGGCGCTGGGAGCTGCAGCTCGTTGGGGGCGCCCCAGGCACCTCTGGCAGGCCCCAGGACACCCCCGCCCCCAGTTACGCTGGCCGAAGGGCCCCACCTGGAGGAACAAAAAAGAACGCACCACAAGCAGTAGAACAACAAGAGCTTTCGGAGATTCACGCGGACTTGCTGGAACGGCGCTGACGCCTCTGACGGCGCCTCTGGCGCGTTTCCCGCGCCAACGTAGGGGGGTCCAACAACATCCCAATCCGCGCGGGCCTCCACATGTTTACATGTTTGTGCCTTTCCCGTTTCTACGGAGATGGCCCTGGCCAAAGGTGGCGCCAGATTTTCCAGGGATCCCCGGATTGCCACCAGAGCACCCCTCACGAGGTCCAGAGGACCCCAGACACACCTGGCCCCAGACATCTGACGTCTTGATTCTATCAAACTGGGGTCCCCGAAGTCCCGACCGTTTCCCCAAGGCCGGATCTTCATCCCGAACATTTTTTGATGGTCACGGGGCCTGGCGAAAGCCTCTGGAGGCCGGAAACGACCAAGAACCTCCCGCCGTGATTTCTTGATAGAATTTCGCTTAAGAGTTTTCATGGGAGGGGAAAACCACAGACGAGCCCCGCAGAGTGAATGGGGAGCCCTAAACCGCCCTGTCTGGCAGCTGCTTCGCATGAGACTTCCCCATCATCTATTCCAAAATTGTGCTCTCGCCCGAATGCTGGCTACATGTTTGGTCTGGACGGCCACGAGTCCGTGCAAAAAAAAACAATTGCGTGCACATGCCTGTGCTCCCGCCCATGTCCTGACTGCATCATTTGCTACCGTTCGGGTGGTGGTTTGCTGGGGCATTTGTTCCACGACGCGACCATATCTGGCGACCTCGGGCGCCGCGAAAACAACTGCCCAGGACTGCCTCTCCGAGGCTGGGGCTGGCCCAGGGACTCCCAGGGAGGTTTGGGGGGGTCCAAGAGGTTGTGACCCCCTGGGGGGGACACCCCTCTTGTAAAAACGCCCGTTTGATCTCTCCACCCCTTGACGCCTTTCCGTCTGAATCGTCGTCGTCGTCGTCGTCGCCGTCCCTGCTCTCTCCCCTGCCCCTCTTCTCCTCCTCCTCCTCCTCCTCCTCCTCCTCCTCCTCCTCCTCCTCCTCTTCCTCCACCTCCTCCTCCTCCTCCTCCTCATCCTCATCCTCATCCACCTCTTCCTCCTCCTCCTGCTCCTCCTCCTCCTCCTCCTTCTCCTTCTCTTCCTCCTCCTCCTCCTTCTCCTCCTCCTCCTCCTCCTCCTCCCTTCTCCTCCTCCTCCTCCTACTCCTCTTCCTGCTCCTCTCCCTCCTCGTCCTCCTCCTCCTCCTCCTGCTCCTCCTCCTTCCTCCATTTTGGCGCAAGCGACCACATGCCCTTCGCCTCGGCCGTCGTCGGGATGGCCGCCGCGCGAGGAACTAAAGGTGGCCTCCCGGCTGCCGACGCCGCCCGCCTCGCCGAAGCGGCAGTCCGCGCCGCTGTCCTCGCCCAGGCGCCGCGCTGCAACGTTGCGGCAGTGGCGCGGCTGGCGATCGCCGCTGCCGCCTGCGCGGCCGGGGCACCGCTGGCTGCGCCCGCTGGAGTGCAGGAGGAGACGCCGACGCGCGTCGTCATCGGAGGCGAAGCTGGAGAGGCGCCGCCGCCGCCGCCAGCGCCTCGCGGCGCGGCGCGCGGCTACGCGGACCGCTGGGCAGCACGCCGTCGAGATCGACGACGAGGTTGGCGTGCCCATGGAGTCGGGCGTCGAGTCCGACGAGTGGGCGGACGAGCTGCCGCCGCGCGCTTTGCAGCCAAGGCAGGTCGTGAACGTGGAGCCTGGGGCGGCGCCGTCGGCGCCCGCGGCGCGTGACGCGGGCGCGGTGGAGGCCCTGATGACGAAGCTCGGGTCGGGGTCCCCGCTCGAGGCCGGGTCGCCTTTCTGGCAGCGCTGCAGGAGGCGGATACGCTCTCGGAGGGCGACTAGAAGGTGGCAAAGGGAGTCGTGCTCGCCTTCGCTGCCAGCAGCTCCGGATAGCCGCCTTCATGTTCCACGTCGGCGTCTCCTTGTCCGTCGTGGTGTGAGGTCGTCTTCATCGTCCTCACGGCCGGGGGGTTCTGGACTTCTCAGTTGGTGCCTGGGCCCCCCCGTAGTAAGACACGCGCTCCCATACATATTGGCTGTGCCATGACTGCGCGTCCGCCTCCCCGCTCCTCCCTCCTCCCTCCCTCCCTCCTCCAACTCCTCCTCCTCCTCCTCCTAGTCCTAGTCCCTCCCTCCTCCTCCTCCTCCTCCCCTCCTCCTCCTCCTCCCCCCCCCCCTCCCCCTCCCCCTCCCCCTCCCCTCCCCCTCCCCCTCCCCTCCCCCTCCTCCTCCTCCTCCTCCCTCCTCCTCCTCCTCCTCCTCTCCTCCTCCTCCTCCTCCTCCCTCCTCCTCTCCTCCCTCCTCCTCCTCCTCCTCCTCCTCCTCCTCCTCCTCCTCCTCCTCCTCCTCCTCCTTCCGAACAGGGGCTGCGGCACTGGGGGCGTCCAAGAGCAGGGTTCGCAAATCATGGCCCGAAGCATATGCGCGGCCCGGGGGGGGCCAGGGGACATACTGAAATCGACCTCTGGCACCCCAAAAGACTCTCCAAAAGGCTCCACGACGGCCTCCGGGCGCCCCACGAAGGCCCCAGAAACCATAGCAACATCCCGAGGGAACGGCAGGACGGTCCTAAGAGGGCTCCAAAACGTGTCTAAGAGGGGCCTCACAAACTGTTCGCACAGGCCACGCGGGGGACGATCGCTGCCGCCCCAAGGGGTCGGCGGTGTGGCGTAAGCCAATGAATAAGAAGAGGGGCCATGACATCTGGGGAGATATCATGGCCCTGGCCATATCATCCCCCCCCCTCGTCATCACCCCTCGGTGGTTCAGAGATGGGGTCCAGAGGGATGGGGTCCAACGGACGAGATGTCTCAAACGACGTGATGAATCCACCCTTGGGCCCCCTCCTATCCTTGGGTTCCTGTCCCTCAGGACCCCATCTTTGAGCCACCGACCCCCCTCCCTCAGACATGCGATGCCCCCGAAGGCCCGACCCCTTGCCTGGGGCTGGCTCTTCATCCCGAGCCGTCTCTTGACAAGCCCGGGGCCCAGCAAGCGCCCCCCCCCCCGAGGGGGGCCGGCCTCGCGGTCACGAGCGCCTCGCTAACCCGGGCCAGCCAGAGGGGGTCTTCGCAGGGACCCTGCAGGATCCGGTGCCCTGGCTGGCCCCCGCTTGCACCGACCCCCGTCTCTTCGGCCCCGACCGGGGCTTCCGTTGCCGCTCCCGGGGGCCTGCCGCGCTCGGGGGCGGCGCGGGTGCCGGCGCGGGCGGGCTCGCCGCCGCTGCGGGGAGCTCGTCCTCGGGGCGAAGGCCAGCAGGGAGGGGTCTTGGTTCATGCCGTGGTTCGGACGGCCTCCTCCTCCTCCTCCTCCTCCTCCTCCTCCTCCTTGTTCGACTTCGTGCGCGCGTTTTTCTCGCTAAGTGAGCAAGATCCTCCTCGGTGGTCCTGGCTGGCCCAGACGGGAGAAGCACGTCCGAGCGATGTCAAGACTGCCTTGGACTGTTGTGGTTACCCCGAGGCCCAAGTGGGGCATGCACCCAAGAAGACACGCCACCACCCCGCCTACGGCACCGAAGCCCCGTGGACGACATGGCCCCGCTCCCATCGGTGCACGACCCTCCTGGGGACAACTTTGGGAGGAGGGATGGAAGCTGACGAGGAGGAGGAGGAGGAGGAAGAGGAGCAGGAGGAGGGAGAGCGGGCCACCGTGACTGCCAAAAGTGGAGGGCTCCGTTTTTGATTTGCACCCGCGGGGGAGGAGATGAAAGCGGACAGCGTGAGCCCACAACTCATGCCAAGTACGGGCTAAGTGGCAGGGCTGCCCTGCGAGCGTGGCCGAAGCCAGGGCCGCATATCACCAGCCTCAAACGTATCCCTATCCCTGAGATGGGCGAGCAAAAAGCGAGGACAATCTTAGGGATAGGCCCTCAAAAACTGAGGGAATCCTTAAGATCGGCATCGAGGTGAAGTGATGTCACACATAGGGATAGGGATATGTTTCAAACTGGTAAGAATATCCGTATAGACGGGTGGCGGGAAGAGGAAGGAGGAGGAGCAGGTCGGGAGAGGCAGACAAAAACAAAAAACCCACGCGAAGATTTAGGATTCAACTTCCCCAAACATGCAACGCCTTGAAAAAACAAGATGGATGCTTTTCGCCATGTTCGGCCACTGGGGGCAAGGGCCCCGGAGCCGTCAAAACACGATTCAGGATGAAAGCACAAGCCCGGGGAAAAGATCCGGCCTTCTGGGGATCCCGTAGTGGAGAAAACACGGCATTGCGTGTCTGGGATTCGGAGATCTTCGTGAAAACGCACCAGGGCTAGCAAGCCCGATGAAGGGACCATTAAGCCAGACCAGGCCAGAGTAAGCCCAGGAATGACCCAGATGAAGCTGGATTAAGCCAGAGTAGACGGGATCAGACGGGATGAAGCGAGACTATGCTGGATTAGGCCGGTGCTTCGACTACAAACGTACTCTTTACTTCATCACACACGGCTCCCCCGCTTCTCCTCTCACGGCATTTCGCCCAGAATTCGGTCTTGGATAGGCTGGCGGGGATATGCGAATAGAAACGTGGCGGTGGAAGAAGCTCGGACCGATGGTGTGAGCTTCCCCTTCTTTTCGCCTCCTCCTCGCCCTCGCCAACGTATTCATCCTCCCCGTCGTCGCATCACTCCATCCTCCCCCCTACTCCCCCCTCCTCCCCCCCGCTTCTCCTCCTCCTCCTCCTCCTCCTCCTCCTCCTCCTCCTCCCTTCCCCTCCTTCTCCTCCTCCTGCTCCTTCTCCTTCTGCTCCTCCTCCTTCTCCTCCTCCTCCTCCTGCTCCTCCTCCTCCTGCTCCTCCTCCTCCTGCTCCTCCTTTTCCTGCTCTTCCTCCGCCTCCTTCTCCGCCTCCTCCTCCTCCTCCTCCGTCTCCTCCTCCTCCTCCTCCTCCTCCTCCTCCTCCTCCTCCTCCTCCTATCCTCCTCCCCCCCATCCTCGCCCTCTCTGCCGCCGTCGTGCTCCTCCTCCCCCTGCTCGTCATACCTGCAATGGGTGAAGAAAAAATGGGAGCAACGCCCAACAGCTAACGTTGTCCAAAAGTGCCAGCGGCTGCTGTCGGGCGGGCGAGCGTGTGTCTCAAATGGATAACGCCCGCGGCTGCAGAGACAACAAATCGCGTTCAAAACGGACAAGACCTGCCGTTGTGTTTCGTCCCGGGCATTTCCGTGGCAGCGTCGGTCGTACCGATGCTCGTCGACCTCGGCCCCCGTCCCCGTCGATAAGCCGGATCGGCGACCGAAACGACTCGTATCGGCATACATCGGCAGCCAAGTCAGGAGAAGTCGAATCGGCAACATCGGCAGGCTAACAAGGCCTGCCATGGAGAAGCCAAAACCCAACTCGGGAATCCGAAGTCGAATCGAATCGGACTGGGAACCGATCGACATCGAACCGAATCGAGACACAGAAATCGAAACGAACATGCGCCCGCCTCTCCAACCAAATGTCCAAAAGAGGCCTGCTCACCCGGTGAATGTAACACACAGATGAATAGACATAAATACAAGGAGTCCCCGTACTTTGTCGTATGTTCTGGGACTTCGTCTCCCCCCCAACTTCCCATCGTTTCCCATATTTTCTCGAGAACCGACGGTTCATTTTGCCTGTGTGTTTCTGCCCCTCCTTCTTCCGCTTCTTCGCCGCCAGGTTCCTGTCCAAGGCGCTCCTTTGCAAGCACATCGTCCTCGGCACCGCCTGATTCCGGAGCTTTGCCCCCTCCTGGCCTTGACGTGAGGCCCCTCCTTCTGCCCCCCCCCCCCTCTTTGCTAATTCAAGCTGTGCGCGGCCCGCTTAGCTTCGACCGGAAGAGGTGCGCTCTCGACCCGCGAATCAAAATGTGTTTTTGCCCATCCGGAATACCGCGCGCGCGCGCGCCGCAGAGCAGCGGCAGACGGGCAGATGGGGGAGCGGCGCGGGGTGCCCGCGGCAGCGGCGCGTCCTGGGAGGCCCTGCGCCAGCTGGGGTCGTCCACGGAGAGGTCCTTCTTGGCCCACTCCTCGCTCCTGGGGCAGGGAGACGACGACGACGACGACGACGACGACGACGGCGACGATGACGACGACGGCGACGACGACGACGACGATGACGACGACGGCGACGACGACGACGACGACGACGACGACGACGACGACGACGACGACGACGGCGACGACGACGACGACGACGACGACGACGGCGACGACGACGACGACGACGACGGCGGCGGCGGCGGCGGCGGCAAGCGGCGAAGGCTAACGAGAAAATGCGCCTCGACTGGGGCATCCGGAAGGCGACGCTCACGATGCTCTCACGGAACCTGGCGCGAGCCGCTACTCCCTCTTCATATCTGCTCCCGATCGTCCCCCGAACGTAGTTCCTGGGAGGAGATTCTGGGCAGGTTGCATCATCGACGCTTCTGGCCGACTGTCCGAGGCGGGATATCAACTCTTGGCCTTCGCTCTCGAGAGCAGACGATCAAAAAGGGCCAGGACAGATGAGGTCGGAGGATCTCACCGCATCGCCGATTCGTCGGCGAAGCATTGACGACGTCAGGACGGGGAATATCAGGAGTGAATGGGGTCAGAGGGTGGCGCCGCATCGTCGATGCATCGGCGATGCCGCAGAAACGTCGGGAGGGTGAAGGTCGCGTTCCAGATCACCGATGCCTCGGCGAATCGGCGCGATACTCCGAACCTCATCTGCACTGGACCCATTTGGATGCCCCGAATCAGATTCCTCTTCTCCTGGACTATGCACGCACCCTTGGCCTGCAGAACCGTGGTGACCCTAACTGGTGACTGCGGCGCAACTGCTCTGGCACTGGTGAAGGGCGCACCAGGCTGAAAGGATTAAGCAGGACGGACCAAGGAGGGCCAGAGGAAGGAGGAGAGGAGGGGAGAGCCAGAAAAATCCAGGGAGGAAACGGTAAGGAAGAAGAGGAGTCAGGAAAAAGAGCATGATAATAGCAAGCCAACAATAAACTCCAAACCAGTAACAAGAACAAATCAAACAGCAAACAAAACAACTCGTCATCTTTATACTCTTGCCACACTTACCAGCCAGCGTGGAGACACTGTGCACCGTCACTTATCCGCTGTCGCCTTCGGGGTCTCCAAGCGTGTAAGATACTCCCACCCGAAAGCCCTCCCCACTGAGCCCAAAATTGAACGCTTGCGCAAATTTCGGTGAACAGTTGCATGTGCGTCCCGTGCAAGTGGCCGCCCGAATGGGCCAACCCCGGGGCGAGCCTGGCCCACAAGTTTCAGCGCCCATTTGCACGGACGCCCCATGAAACCGCATGCAGATGACCATTCGACCGGGCCAACTCCTCCAGGACGACGCCTGGCCGCACTCCCCGTTCGCATGGGCGCTCCATGCAAACAGCCCCTGAACGACCCCCGGACGGGCTCCTCTGAGGTTCGCACCCCGTCGCATGGGCGCCCCGTGCAAACGGCCGCCGAGAGGGGGGCCAACTGCCAAGGGGTCCGGGCTCACTCGGCACGGGGCTCGGCTCGTTTGGGGTCCGCGCCCACGTGCATGGGCGCCCCGTGCAAACGGCCGCCGAGACGGGCCAACCCCGTGGGGGTCTGGGCTCACCGGGGGCCGGGCGGGCTCATCCGAGGCTCTTTTGCTGCTCCAAGACGCCCCTCGGAGTCCGCGGAGTCTTCAAGGCGTGTGAGATTCTCCCGCTTCGAATCCTCCTGGCAGAGGGGCCAAAATCGCCGCGATCGGTACCGAGCGAACTTTGCTCATGTGACAGTTGGATCTCCACTGTCAAACGTCGACGATCTGCGACAGTCAGGATTTCAGTCCCTCCGATTCCCTATTTGACAGCGGAGGACCAACTGTCAAGTGGGTCATCGGGGTGCCCAGTCGCTGACTTGATAGTTGGCCCACCACTGTCAGGCGATCGGAGCTCAAATACCCCCCCCCGCCTCGGCCTGGACCCCCCGACCGCCCATGTGACAATGGGCCCCCGCTGTCAATAGGCAGTCGGAACTGGTTGGCCACCTGGACCTGACCCCCCGATGCGTCCCAAGCCAAATGCCACGGCCTCGGAGCTGCCAGAGACCATGCTGGAGTTGGAGATCGAAGAGGGAGGACGAAGGCAGCGTGCCGGTGGCACCGCGAGGGTGGTGAGACTCATGCAGCTGCGCGGTCACGCGAGCTCCCCCCCAAGGCTGCTCCTCCTCCACCCTCCCCCCGCTCCTGCCACACGTACCGCCCCTCCCTGCTTCCCTTCCTCTCCCACCCGCCTCCCCTTTCTCATCCCTCCGCGCTTCCTCCGGCCACCCTCGTGAGATCGCGTTGGCGAGGGGCCCTGTGTACCTGTGCGAGGTCCGCGGGGTCTGCGAAACGAAGATAAGGCACTCCTCTCGGGAAATGAATGCCAACCGTTACTGTGGAGTGCTCCGACCTTGATGCCCCAAGAGCATTATCGGACTACAGTCGGGGCGTTGACCTAAGGAACCCAAAATAAGGAACGAGGCCCCTTTCATCCACAAGTTGAACTTCGATTTCCGATCGAAAACATAAGGAAAGCCTGAGGCAAGCTGTGAAACACTTAAGGAACGCGGAGCCCCTCCCAAACGAAAAGGGTTCCTTCTTCAGGGCCCCGACTGTATGTCTGTAGCATTTGACCATCGGCGATGAAACCCGTGTGCGCTCGGAGCACGCCGAACGGAGGCCGCCGGGCCCGAGGAGCCTGAAGGCCTCGACGTAGCCGGGGCACCACTGCTGCGCGGAGGAGCTGAACACCTCGTGGGGCGAGGAGGCCATTGCAGGCAGGACGAGCAAAGGAGGGCGAACGTCGAGGGAGGACTGGATTGAAGGGGACCCAGGACACACAAATAAATACACACAAATAAAACTGTTCCCCATATTTTCGCATATTTTCTGGGTTTCTGTCTTCCCCCCACACTTCCCATATTTCCCCATATTTTCCTGGGGATCGACGATTGATTGTGTCTGTGTTTTTTCCCCTCCTGAGTCGAGGGAGGACTGGACGAGGGGGGGGAAAACGTCGACCTGCACCGGGCGCCAAATCGCCGACAGGTCGGGAAAGGGGCCCCCGACGGCGAATCGGCACGCTCCTTCGGCGGGGTGGGCTGTCGGGCCCCCGTCTGCGATGCATGAGCGCTTGGTGGTCGATCTGTTCCATCCTGGGCCCATCCCTCCCTCGACGTTCTCCCTCAAGGAGGAGGAGGAGGAGGAGGAGGAGGAGGAGGAGGAGGAGTGTCGTTTTGCCCCAAGCTTTCGGGCCAGAATCCGCGTGTCCGGCGGCCGCTCTCGGGACGATTATATGGCACCCCAGCGCCCTCGGCGAGGCGCACCCGCCGGGAAGGCCTCCCCGAGGCTGGCAAGCCGACCAGCACAAGCGGCAGCACGCCCGGGAGCCTCGAGCCTCGAGCCAGCGAGCACGTCCCCCCCCCCAGCGTTGCTTCTGACGTCCGCCGAGGGACGGCCGCCGCGAGACGGCCGCCGCGAGACGCCCCCCCCCCCCCAAAACAGTGGAGGCCCGACCACCAGAAACCTTCCAGGCGAAACCCAACCCTGAGACCCCAGGACGTCCACTGATTTTCGGTGTGGGAGCGTCACGAGTTCGATCGGAAACCGTCGAAACCCAGGAGACCCAGGGCACCCTGGACGCAAGCAGGGCCTTTCTTGGCATGGGCCTCCAGTGTACTGTTGCACCTGACAGGCGGTGCGAGGAGGGTAGACGGGAGGAGCCGAGCACCTCCACGTGGTCCCCCACGGCCAGCCCGAAGCGCTGCGCACACATCTCCACAGCGACGGGCGTCTCCCAGGCGGTCTCGGACGTGCCGTGGCAGTAATCCGCCATCCTCCTCGTCCCCCCGAAACAGGCGCACACGAGGGGATTTGTGGATTGCGACGCTGGTGAAGCCCACAGCAGAGTACGGTGCTGCAGCTAACATAATAATGTTAATGTAGATACTAAACACTTATGCACGGGCAGCAGGTGAGCAAGTAGAGTGGGCAGTACGGGCAAAGGGCAAGTGTGCACCACGAGAAAGGAAGACAGCAGCAAGGGCGGTCACCCAAGGGGGCGGTGGGAAGGCCCCGCGGGCCAAGAACGCCCGGCCTGCTAGAAGAAAGCACCGTAACCTGCCGCCAGGCGTCAGGAACAGCTCGAGGCTTCGCGGGCAGGAGCGCTGAACATCCCCATAAGAGCCCCTGGCGGAGCACTGCGACATTGAGCACCTAACTGCCAAGAGCCTCCGACGGAGCACTTGATGCTTAACAGTAGACACCCAATTTCGTGCTTCACGCTGCAGGCTGCGCGAAACGCGATTATCCTCGCGCTCTCGCGTTGCCCACGTGATTGAAGACTGGGCTCATGAGTGATGAGGCGCCAAAGACGAGATGCATCAGACAATGTAAGCTCAACCTCGGATCCCTTCCTATCCTCAGGGCCCCATCCCGCAGGCCCCCACTCGAAACTCCCTCAAGCTCCGTTGGGGCGCTTTGAACCCGTCTGACGCTTTCGGAAACCGTCTGAGCGGGACTCTGGGGGGTTTCTGGGCCCGTCTTGGAAAACTCTGGAGCGCTGTTCGGGCCGCCCTGTGGCCTTGTGTTGCTCATCTTGGGGCACGCTTGGGCCGTTTGACGACCGTCCAGAAGCCTCAGAAGCCCATGGGAAGCAAAACAAAATCTAAAAACACCCATATTTTTCCTTAGGTGTTTCACTGTTTTGAGCATCTTGGGGCTCTCTTGAAGTCTCTTGGCGCCCGAGTCCTTCAACAAACCAGCGGAAAATCAACAAATATTGCCTCTCGACGCCCTTTTGCAGGCCCTGGTGGGCCCGCCCGCGCGGACTTCGTGGTCTATTCTGGACAGGTTGTCGCTATCGAGGAGCCTCTTTGGCCACGCTGGCCTATCTTCGTGGCCTCTTGGCGCCCCCTGGGGTCGCCTTGGAGATCTCTGGGGGCCTGAGAAAAATCCTCCGGAGCCCTGAAAAGACCCGCCCGCCTCAGGGACGAAAGTCTGGTGCGCGGGAGGGGGAAATTTGGAAACAAGGTGGGCACACGGGCCCCGGGGCCCCTTACATACATGTGTATATATATATATATATATATATATATATATATATACGGAATGCCGGTCCTACATACATATATATATATACATGAAATGCCCGTCCTATATACGTACATACACATATATGGACGTGGGCAAAAGTCAGGATCATCTGTCGCCGCAGGCCCATTGGATAATACTTGGTGCCATCTGTGGTCGTCGTGGCCCGCCAACTGTACGGTCGCGGTATCTTCCGGCCAAGCCGGCGTAGCAGCGGGTCGACCGAGCGCTCGAAGCGGAACTCGTGCACGGTTTCCCCCCAGCGCAAGCCAGGCGTTCTCCGCTGCAGCCCCAGGAAGCACCTTGGGTCCTCTTCGCTCCCACCAGTTCGATGTTCTACCTTCCCGCCTCCTCCCTCGCCTCCAATGAAGGAGGAGTGGGAGAGGGAGGCTCTGACTGATAGTCGCAACGAGGAATTCCTCACCTCGTCCTTCCTTCCTTGCTCTTACCCCCACTCTGTCACTCCCCCACCCTTCCCCAGTGGCTCTTGCGAGCAGATTTCCCCGCCAACGTCCCCAGCGAACACGGCCCTCAGGGCTCGTGTTCAGGCCGCGGATCGATGCGGCCTTGCTAACGAAGGACGGAACGCACGTGCGCTGCGAGCGCACGTGCTGCGCGCGTGTGCGTGGGAGGGGAGTGGACTGTCAAGCCCTGGAGAAGCGCAGAAGTGCGGTGAGCGCGCCCGTGTCTGAAGGGGCCCCAGGACACACAAATAAATGCACACGCATAAATCATTCCCCATATGTTCCGATATTTTGGGGGAGTTTCTCTTCCCCCCCACTTCCCATATTTTCCAATGTTTTGTAAGGACTCGATGATTACTTGTGTCTGTGTGTTTTTTCCCCTCCTGAGGTTAGCGCGCCCGTGTCCGAATCGTTTCTGACGAGAGCAGGCCTAGCGGCCCAGGCAGGGGGCGACCCTCGCAAGTTCTGCCACGGACCCGACACGACGCAGGGGCACCACCCACTTGGCCGATCGTCTCGAGAAACGACAGATCTGCTGCGGACGCCTGCGAGAGCAGCAGCAGCACGAAGAGGAGGAAGGGCAGACAGAGGAAAGGCGGAGAAGGGAAGGACCAATGCTGAAGGGGCCCCAGGACACACAGATAAGTACACACAACTTAGAATATTCCCCGGATGTTCCCATATTTTCTGGGTCTTCGTCTTCCCCCCCACTTCCCATATCTTCCCATACTTTCTTGGGGATCGACGATGAATTGTGTCTGTGTGTGTTTTTTCCCTCCTGAAATACGGCCCCGCGACCCCCGAAACCCTGACGGGGATACCGTCGAAAACAAACATGCGCCGAGAACGAGGGGTCAAGAAAACGCCGGCCCTTTCTCCACGGGCCGGCTAAGCATCCCGAGTCGTGTTTCGACAATCCCTGGGCCCGGCGAGGGCCCCCCTTCCTAGAGGAAAAAGAACTATGCACATACACCGATTCTGGCCAGACCCATCCTGAGCCCAGGATCAGTGCATATGCCCTCCTACCTTGGCCAGGAAGGCATATGCACCGATCCTGGGTCAAGGATGGGCGTTGTCAGGATCGGTGCATGTGCATATTTCTCTTCGCCCGACTTCCGTCGTAATTTTGTTCACGACGCGAGCATGTCTGGGCAGACACAGTCGGCTTCGAACCAAAAAATCGGATCAAATCAGAACGTGCGTCAGATCAGACCACATCGGCACGGAGTCGAGGTCGAATCGGAGTGGCTGCACCAGGATGCACAACAGCGCCGTGCAAGCGTCGGGTCGCATCGGATCAGCAGGAAATCGGAATCGAAACGGACCGACCTGGCCAAAACCGATGTCGAATCGGATCGATCGGATCGACATGAACCCTGGTGGGAGGGCACCCCCTGGCGCCTGCCCCAGCAGCCGGACCTCTGGCCCCGGCCTCTGGAAGGCGACCCCCGCGGCCGGCGGAGGGGCCTCGCGGCCACCAGGCCGGCGCAGCACGCGCCGCTGCGCGGAAAGGCCGGGCGGGTCTGGGAGCCGGAGAGCCCGAGGACGGCCCACGATCACGAGCGGCGAACGCGTCCACATCCAAGCCCTCGCAGTCGGGATTCCAGGGCGCGGTCCCGCGGATGCGCGGCCGCACGGTCAACGTCCCGCGCGGGGCATCCACGAAGAAGCGCTCTGTACCGAGAGATTCGATGTCGTCATGTCTTCCTACCGGGTCCCCTGAAGAATCGAACCTTTCACCAAGGCAGGTTATATTATTCCGAATCGGAGAAAAATCAACTCAAAACACTACAGCTGTTTGAAGGTCCTGGGCCCCAGAAGACGCGCGGAGCGCGCCAGGGGCGCCGCCAGGGAAGACGCAGCGCCGGTCCAAGAAATCCGCCGACCCTCTGGTGTTCATCGGCGTGCGAGATGTTCCCCCCTCCCCAAGCTTCTCCCACGGGAGCCCGGTCCGGTCGATTTGGACGGGGGGGTCCCCGGTGACCGCCCGAACGCATCACGGGCGGACAGAGGGCTCCAAAACAGGCCAAGAGGGTAACAAGAGGCCATCCGGACAGTCCCAGAGAGCCACAAGCCGCCGAAAGATCCATCCAAAACGCCCACGCTTGCTGGCCCCCAAACGGCCCAAGAGGCCCCCAAACACCCCAAGAATCCCTCCAGAGGCGTCCCAAGACGGCCTCAGAAAGCAAACATCTGCCCGTTCCCACGGGAAAATATGCATCTTTAGCACGTTCGCCTCTTGTACGTTCACAGCGTCCATGACGGATCGCCCCCAGACGGCCCAAGAGGCCCCAAGAGGGCTCCCGCACGACCCAAGAAGGCCTCGAGTCCGCTCAAGAAGCCCCGAGACGGCCCAGGGGGGCTCCAGGACAGCCCCAAGAGCAGGCCCAGTGGGGGAACCCGAACGAACATTTCAAGCATTCGACCCCAAACCGCCCCCCAGCTGCCCCAAGAAGCCCCCAACAGGCTACCAGGGAGCTCCAAGGGGCCCGAAAGAAGATCCCAAGAGGCCTGCAGGTGGCCCCGAAGCGGTTCAAGAAGTGCTTCCCAGACGCCCCCGAGGCGCCTACCACGAGACCCTGTCTGCCATCCGCGTGGCCTCAGACCGGCAGCCCAGGCACGGTAGCGGGATGTGCCGAAGGCCAGTCGATAATCCGCCGCCCCCTGTCGATTCATCTCAGGGGTGCCTGGCGTGCTAGACCCTCTCGGTTTTGGTTTTCATTCTTCTTCCCAAAGAACTCCCCCTGGGCATTCGGCGCGTCCCGCCGGGGTCCCGGGAGGCTCTTCCGGAGGTGGTTGCCGTGGGTGTTCCTGCCCCAGACGGCTCCAAGATGGCCCAAGATGGCTTCCAAGATGCTTCCAAGACGGCCAAGATGGCCTTCAAGACGGCTAAGATGGCCCCAACATACCTCCAAGACGGCCCAAGATGCACCCAAGACGGCCTAAGATGGCCTCAAGCTGGCCCAAGACGGCCCAAGAGGCCCCGAAGAGGCCTCCAAGACGGCCCAAGAGGCCTCCAAGAGGTCCTCCAGGAAGGCCCGAAGAGGCCAAAACCCGCAGATGTTTCAAAGATTTTGGTATTTCCGCCTTTCCGGCTTTCCGAAAGCCCAAGACGGCTCAAGAGGCCCCCAAGGTCGCCCCAAGATCGCCCAAGAGGCCTCGAAGATGGCCCCATGACGGCCCAAGAGGCCCCCAAGAGGGCCCCAAGAGGGCCTCAAGACGGGCCAAGAGGCCTCCAAGACGCCCAAGATGGCCTCTAAGACGGCCCCGAAGCGCCCCAACAGGGCCCAAGTCGGCCCAGAGAGGCCCCGAAGACGGCTCCCGACGGCGTCAGACGTGCCAGGAACCCACCAAGACGGCCGAAGTTGGCTCGAAGCTGTCCCAAGACGGCCAAAGAAACCTCCAAGAGGCCTCCAGGAAGGCCAGAAAAAAAAAACAAAACACTTCTGTGCATAAGGTTTTTTGAAAGAATTTGACATTTGCTTCCTTTAGGCCTTCCGACGGCCCGAGACGGCCCAAGAGCCCCCGAAGATTGTCCAAGGATCGCTCAAGAGGCCTCCAAGATGGCCCCATGACGGCCCAATAGGCCCCCAAGACGGCCCCAAGAGGCCCCCAAGACGGCCCAGGAGGCCTTTAAGACGCCCAAGATGGCCTCCAAGACGGCCCTGGAGCGCCCCAAGAGGGCCCCACCGTCGGCCCAGAGAGACCCCCCAAACGGCTCCCGACGGCGTCAGACGGGCCAGGAGCCCACCAAGACGGCCGAAGATGGCCTCAAGATTGCCCAAGACGGCCTCCAAGAGGGCCTCCAGGAAGGCCCGAAAAGGCCAGAAGCATTGATTTCCCAAGAGTGTTTGAAGGATTGTGGCGTTTGCTTTTTGTCCGGCCTTCCGACGGCCCGAGACGGCCCAAGTGCCCCCAAAGATCGCCCCATACGGCCCCAAGAGGCCCCCAAGACGGCCCAAGAGGCCTCCAAAACGCTCAAGATGGCCTCTCAGACGGCCCAAGAGCCCTCCAAGACGTCCTCCAAGAAGGCCCGAAAGGGTCAAAATGACCTCCAGACGGCCCAGATGACCTTCAAGATGCCCACGTGTTCCCCGGAGGCTTTCCAAACCGATTCGGGGAACACATGGTCCGATAGCTTGGCAGGTCTGGCCTCAACGTTCGGCCACATAGGCGCTTCCAAAAAGGCAGGGGGCGGCGGTGATTCGCCGTAGGCGTCTTCGATCAAAAGAGCGCCAAGAAGCCCCACATGGCGCCAGGCGCCAAAGAGGCCCTCAGGACCAACACGCAACAACCGCCAGTCCGCAAAGGGGTCGGCGGTGTGGCGCAAGCCTGAGAATCAGCACGGTGCGTCGAAAGATGCTGTTTGTGCCGCTTTCTCTTCTCTAGCAGACTAATGCTTTATTCGGCGGTGGACAAACCTCCCTTCAGTAAACCTCCCTTTCGTGAAAACGGCCTAGGACCGAAACCGACGGACTTGGACTCGCAAGAATGACGGCCGCGACGCCCTCTCGCGAACCGAAAACGGCCAAGTCCTTCATGGATGTGTCAGGGTAGGAGGTCTGTCCACCCCCGATCTATCCCGCCCCCCGCTGCGACGGACTGCCCTGAGCCAGCACGAGCCCCCCTGGCTCGGGGACGCACCCACCCCCGCCCGCAGAAGCGCGGGCTGGGCAGCCAGGGCCGCGCCGCGAAGCCAGGCCGGCCGCGAAGCAGCTCCCGGACCCAGGTCGGTGGAGGGCGGGAGAGCAGGGTCGGCTCCGGGTGCTTCCCCAAACCCGCCTCGCCTTGGGTCGGGCCTGTCCCCTTACAGGGTTTTTTTTGAACGAAAAATAAAAAAAACCCAAAATGTGCTCAAAAGATGCCCAAAAATACTCAAAAATAGTCCCCAGACTATGTTTTGACTATTTTTGAATATTCCCCCTGCAGAGGGACAGGCCCGGCTGAAGCCTCGCCGGCTCCCGAAGTGTCCCGCGAGACGCTCGCCGATCAGGGAAAGCGACGGGAGACTGTGCAGGCACACGCGCGTGCCAGTTTCGAGTGAACCTGCGCAGAGGCTCCTCAGTCGACTTATAGTGGAGGCCAGTCCACAAGAAACCTGCCACAAGAAACCCAACCCTGAGACCCCAGGACGTCCATTGATTTTTGGTGTGGGAACGTCGCGCGTTCCAGAGCAAAACGATCGAAACGCAAGAAACCCAGGGCACCCTGGAGGCAAGCAGGGTGCTTCCTGGCATGGGCCTCCACTGTACATGGGGTGCCGAAGCTCATGCTTATGCCGCGGGCTTCTCCGACAGATCAGACGCCCGAGATACCCAGGACAACTCCGAGCCAGGAGTAACTCCGGCTGGGGTCTCCGACGCACGAGCCAAGAGTTACCCCGGACCACCACCAGCCCCGACGATTCGGGAGCGGCCGGACGCCCGAGCTGTCTGGGATGACTCTGGTCCAGGGCACCTCGGCCTGGACCCCCGTGGCACGAAGCAGGAACAAGAACACATACACCGACACCCTCAATGGTAGTTCCTGGACTTCAGGGAGGGGAGCGATGTGTAAATCACCATTGAGAGCCAACGACTTTATACACCGCCACCACGTCTGAAATTACATGCAAAGTTCGTCGGAGGGTGCGTGTATCTATCTATATATGTGTGTAGGTGTATACGCATGTCTATATATATATATATATACACATACATATGTATATATATATATTTACATACATACATATGTATAGTCGTGGCGGAGCGACAGCTCGATTACTTCAGGAGCGGAAAACGGCCAGAAACCTTGCGCCGTAACCTTTCGTGACGAAGGCATGCCTGGGTCGGAACAGTTCCCAAATATCAGAATCACTCTGAACACCAGAACGCTTGGGGACCGTCCCCCCGCCACGTGCGGCGGAGCTCCACCTCGCGGGCCCTTTCAGAGGCCGAAAATTGCCAAACACCTTGCGCTGAACGTCTGGGTCGGAACGGCTCCCAAATATCCCTGTGCTCAGAGCCACTCTGCACACACGAGAACGCTGGGGGGCCTTCCCGCCGCCACGTGCGGCGGCTCCCCGCCTCGCCGGCTCCCCAGACCCGGGCTTGCCGCTCCGGCGCCAGGCAGGGCCGCAGCGGAGCCGGCAGCGGCCCCGTGTGCCCGGCGGCCGCCAGCGGCACGTCCGGGGCCTCGCCCTCCCCGTCGGCGGGGCTGGGCGGCGCGTCAGGCGGCGCGTCGGTGGCCCCGTCGTCCTCGTCCTGGTGGGGGGGTTGCCTACTGGAGGGGCGGTAGGCGGGGGGGGGGGGGAGAAACGCGCACCTCTCGTGCACCTCCTCCTCCTCCTCCTTTTCCTCCTCGTCCTTTTCCTCCTCCTCCTCCTCCTCCTCCTCCTCCTCCTCCTCATCCTTTTCCTCCTCCCCGTCCTCCTCCTCCTCCTTCTCTGCCTCTTCCTCTTACGATTCCTCTTCCTATTCCTCTTCCTCTTCTTCCTCCTCCTCCTCCTCCTCCTCCTCCTCCTCCTCCTCGTTCCTTGGACCCCAAGGTGCCCATAAGGGGGCCCCTGGAGCTCAAAGGGGGTACGACAGGTGCGCGCTGTTTCCCCTCTGTCGCCCTCCAATTACGCAACGCCTGACCTCGAAAGGGGAGAGGTCTGGGTGTTGCCTTGTATTCCCGCCAAGCGCTTTCGCCAGTCTTCGGGCCCCAGGACCATCGCAGATCGGTCCGGCTCGACAAGTGCGGCGAAGATAAACAGGCTCCGGGGCTCTTGTCTTTGAAAGTTGAACGTCTCGAATCTGTTGGCAAGGTCGGATCTCACAGGGGGGGAACGATGGCGCGGAAGAGGGGGAAGGGGGGCTAGAGGGAGGGAGGGAGGGAAGGAGGGAGAAGGGGTGGCCGCCGGGTCGGGGGAAAGAGAAGGAAGTGAGAAAGGGGGAGGCAGAGGAGGAGCTGGAAGAGGAAGAGGACGACGACGACGACGACGACGACGACGACGGGGGGTTGGGCGCGGAGAAGGAGGGCGAGAAAGCGGGGGATACGAGGGAGGATAGCAGAGAGGAGAGGACAGGGGCGAAGGAGGGGAGACTTCGAGACTTCGAGTCGACCCTCCCTCAGTCACGTGACTGGCAGGCGAACGGCGAATTGGCATGCCTGCAGAAACTGCTGTGGCAACGCGCACCGCACTGGCACGGAAAAACGCAGCATGACAAAATACAAAACGTGTTCAGGTCGACAATGGCTCCGTCTCCCTCTGTACGGAGCTCCTCTTTCAATTTCTTCCACGGGTTCCCGCGCGAAGCGACGTTGTCTGGCTCGCACTTCTGATATGATCGAAGCTGGCGAGCCTGCCCCCCGACGTCATAGGGCCGCCCTTGTGGCACATGCGTGCGCAAAAACGAACCGCCTGAGGAATCCGAAAGCACACTGCGATGCCCCCGCTCCCGAAGCCTGGCTGGCCGGACAAGCGAGACACATGAACGCGCCCCTCCAGGGAGAACGACCGCGACACGCCCCCGTTTGCCGCGATGGCACGCGCCGCAATGCCAGCAGTTGTCCACCCAGTTCCACGGGTGGGTTGGTTTGCCCTCCCGTTTTTTCCAGGAACAGGGCTCAGGACCTCATCGGGCATCGGGACCCGTGGCCACCTTAGGCCGCAAAAAACATACAAAAGCTTCACACCGAGACGGCCCAGCCCTGAAAACGGCCATCTGACGATCAAGACCCTCAACCTAGGCATCCGAAGGCGAAGGACGTACGGCAGCCGCAGATTAACACTGACGTCGGCCCACGAATTGCCTTGCCGCAAGTAGCGGTTCCAAATATCGGTACCGGGTCGTGACCATAGAGACTGTGGCTTGGTGCCAACGATCGCGCAACAAAAACAACTGCAGGATACCAGCACACATCCTGTTTGAAGAAGCATGCTCGTGCCGAGGGAAGCTCGTAAAGTCCACGCAGCCTTGGAAATCCGAACAGAAGCTCGCTGGCGTCACAAGCCCACGGAACAGCAATCTACAAAGCAAACAAATCGGCCGTTTGGGGCGTGTGTGTGGAACGGGGCGACGAGGATGAGGGGGAGGACCAAGGTAAACCCAAAACACATCAACAAAAATTCGCGTTAAGTACGGGATGTGCCCCATTGGGAAACAACCGTCTGAGAATCCTCACGCATGCCGAAATACCATTCAGGGGATTTCAAGGCTGCGAATCAACGCGACAGCTGCGTCCGGACAATATTAAACCGCGCCTGAATACCAATCCTGCGGATCAAGAACGAAGGCCACAATTTGAAAAGGAACCGCCGTCCATCCTTGGCCCTCCATCCTTGAAGCTGGTGCAACTTTTAAGACGAAACTGCGGGGCGTTACTGCGAGAGCCACATTGTGAAAACCACCCGCCCTCCATCCTAAAACCAGCTGCAGACTTACAGAATAAATGTGCGCGGCGCCGCATTGTTGCCACATTGTTGAAACGGCACGCCCTCTAAGATAAGCAAATCCTGCTTGCGCTCAGAAACAGATTTGAAATCGAATTCGTCGGCAACGCAGCGAAGGAACGGAAACGTCCGAGACGCCAAACGCAAAAGTATGTCACAGGCCGAACCCCTTGGAGGTCGAAAAGCCCCACGAAGCATAGTAAGCGAGGGAGTAACCTGGAACCCGAGACGGCCAAAACCAACTCCAAACGAAGGGCCAATGCAAACCACACGCGTGCCAACATTTCTGAAACGTGGAAATCAAAAGCCACAAACAACCATGTTGGTCAGAATCTTTCCGGCGAGCACGGCTGAAACTCACGCCACCAATTCGAGCACGGAGGGAGGAAAAAGGGAGCGGAGGGGAGGGGCAAGGGAAGAGGAGGGGGGCAGCAGGGTCTGAAAAGATCTCGGGATCGCACCTACACCTGACACCCCACTACAGTCCTAAGCTGGGCACCCGCGAATCAGGAACATAATGATTCATACTTAGTGAAGCGCTCGGAATAAAAAGAGACGACTGACGCCGTCAGAATACAGGGCAGCGACGTGATAGGGAGCGGGAAGGAAGGGAGCAACGAAGGGAGGAGGCGGCAACAGTGATACAAACTGCAAATGGCATCGTATCGGCCAATATCGGGATTGTCTTTTTCGTTGCAAGTGGCCGAACCGGCACATCCGGCAGGGGGGGAAGGAAAGAAATGGGAGGAGGAAGGGAAGGAGGGGAGGGAGGAGGAAATGGGAGGATGGAAGCCAGGCCGCTTACACATCCTCGTGCGCGCCCGTGTCCCGCGTGGTCTTCCGGATCGCTGCCGGCACGTCGCCCGCCAGCTTCGGGGCGATCCTTTTTCGATAGCCGCTGACGCACAAGTGTGCGACCACCGCCGCCACGCGGGACACCAACTCCCGCCTGACAAAGGCTGCCTCCCAGCGTTCCTTGGCCACTACGGCTGCCGCGATGGCCCAGACCGCCGCGCAGGCGGCCGTGGTCATTCCGCTCTGCGTCTCGTGGGAGACGGGCCAAATCGGAAGCCGGCTGCCATGCTCTGTTGCTCGGTTTTCTGGTCGGTCCGCTTTTTCTGGTCGTACCTGTCAGCCGCTGTGCCGACCCCTGCAGTTGTCTCTTGCCAGTGGCCTGCGCCCAGGGCGTTGACGACTATGACATCGAAACACTATAATTCTCTCTGGATCGCACGAGAGCCGTGCGGAAGCCGCTTGGACAACGCCAACGCGGGGATGCTCAGTTTGTCTGCGAGCCTCCGCCTGCTGTCCCGCCCGAGCACCTCCTGCAGAGCGCGGGGATCTGCGCTCAGCGGGCGGAGACCAGTGCGCTGGCAGAAACTGCTGCCAATGCCCAGCTTCAGGATCATTAGCGGTGAAGAAATCGCAGGCGAAACGCCCGGACGAATGCCATACCTACCCGTCTAGGGGATGGATGATTTAGAAATAGAAGGGATGGAGCCCCAGGGTTCCCTTCTGAGGGCATCTGGGCCCATTCGGCCGCCGAGTGAACTTACGATCGAATCCATTCGACAGCTGAACAGGGTTGGGCGCCGAACGTGCTCATGATGTAACCGTGAGAAGAAGGAAAAGGAGGAGGAGGAGGAGGAGGAGGAGAATGAGGAGGAGGAGGAAGAGGGGGAGGAGGAGGAGGAGGCGGCGAAGGCGGCGGAGGCGGGGGAGGGCGAGCCACGGAGGGAGGGGTGGGGCTTGGACGTCGCTTCGTGGCGGGGCGATACATAAGGGGGAGGGGGGGGCAAGATTGACCAAACCGTGTGTGTGTGTACCACCTCTTGTATGGACCTTTTTTTGTCACGTATTCTGTACTTGTTGTTTTGTTGTTTGTTGTTTTCGCCATATTTTGGATGGGGCGTTACAGCGGTGTGTATCCTGTGGCAGCTGATGATAAGGACTCCTCATGTGAAGCGGATTACAAATTGATTCCTTTACGTAGCAGACTACAAGTTGATTCATTTTGTTGCGGCTTATGACTGTATGATAACGGACAGACGCCACAATCATAAGATGTTCGGGGCTATGGGGCTATAGGGCTAGACGGCTAGAGCGCTATCCAACGATTGGGCTGTTGGGCTATAGGGCTATTGGGCTGGACGGCTATAGGGCTATAGTGCTATAAGGCTACAGGGCGATTGGGCTATAGAGTAGAAGGCTACAGGCCTACAGGGGTAGAGGGCTAGAGGGCTAGAGAGCTAGATGGCTATAGGGTTACAGGGTTGTGGGGCTATTGGGCTATAGGGCTGTAAGGTTATTGAGTGCTTGGGCTATCGGGCTATAGGGCAATAGGACTGTATGGCTATAGGACTATAGGGCTAATAGGGCTATGGGGCCCCCGGGCGGGCCGCAGAAGTCGGCGGCGCAGCTCCCGCGCACCCGGGCACCCGGGCGGGCCGCCAAAATCGCCAGCGCAACTAACATAACCATACGAATCCTCTAAGAACCCTACAGAGGCAAGCTCTGATTGGGGAACTTCTTTTGTGGCAGACTACAACTTGATTCCGTTCTGTGGCGGTTACCAATGAATCCCTTCTGTGGCGGATGACACATCGATTCTTTTTGTGGCGCACTATACAAGTTGATTCCTCGTGGTACACACATCGATTCCTTATGTGGTGGATTTACAAGAGGGCTTCTTTTGTGTCGGATTACTATGTGTTTCGTCTTCTGTTTGGCGGACCACACATTGATTCCGATCGTGGCGGGTTTTCAAGGGTTTCCTTGTGTTGCGAATTACAGATTGATTCCGTTTGTGGCAGATTGTAAATGGATTCCATTTTGTGGCGGATTATAAGCGGATTCTTCTGGAGAGGATTGCAAAAGGATTCCTTCTGTGGAAAACTACAGATTCGTTTTGCGGGACTTCCTAGTGGTGAACCAGGGGAAAAAAAATGGAATATTTGAAAACTGTGAAACATACAATTGTTCAATGAATGTCGAATGTTTTGATGCAAAAAAAAAAAAAAGACATGGCATGTTCCGTCATGCGAAACCAAACACGATGGGGGGGGGGGGGAAAAACATACCGCACTTCCAAATTTTGATGTGTCCATATGGATGTGGATGTACGAATGCAAAAAAATGTGTTTTGTTTTACTGTGTCGGTTTCAAAACGTCCGGACGTGGTGTGTGTTTTTAATGTTGGGCTCAATGCATTGGACAATCACCGGCAACTGCAATTGTCCTACGTTTCAATGAAAGTTTGATGTTTGTTGTTTTTCTTTTGTCCCCTGGTTCACTGGTAAAGACGCCCATAAAAAAAAGAAATCGAGGTGTATTCCTGCACCAATGGAATCCCTTCTTAATCCGCCACAAAAAAAACAATGTGTAATTCGGCACACATAGAATGTCTTTTATAACCCGCCACACAAAATGTGTAAGTAATAACCGCCTTAAACCGAAACAAAGTGTAATCCGCCACAAAAAAAAATCCCTCTGTAATGAAACACCAACGCAATCCATTCGCAACCCGCCACAAAATGAATCAATGTGTAATCTGCCACAACAAGACCAGTTGTAACCCGCTTCAAAAAAGAATCCATGTATAATCCGCCACAAAAAACAATTGGCATGCCGCCACAAAAAAATCGTGTAATCCACCAAAAAAATCCGCCTCAAAAGGAATCCGCGCGCATTCCAACACAAGAAATCATGTTATAACCCGCCCCAAATGAAATCCAGGTGTAAGAAAATACGCTTGGTATTGCGATCGACACAAAAGCGCTGGGCCCGCGAGGCTTTATGTAAGAACCTGATAAGCGGGAAAAATAAATGCAGACTTGCCATTTTCGGAAAAGGCAGGGCAACGAAAAATGGGAGCCCCAGATGCTCGCCGACGATCACCGTTTTGGCGCGTACACATGTCAACATAACGCGCGCATGTTCCGCGATTGCAAACGTTGACCGCTGCCTGCGAAGAGCTCTTTGAGGCCATGAAGAGGGGAAAAGTATGTGTATTCGTTCGCTAACTGCCGGGGAGCGGAGCACACAACCATGAGGTCCCTGGGCCACCTGGCGCAGAACATCGTTGTTGCAAGTGTAAATTTCAATGCGACGTTTAGCACTGTTCGAGAATATGTTTTTCCTAAAAACTCGGGGGGGGGGATTTGCGCGTGCCTTTGGGGTGCCTTTTCCGGGTGAGTCCCGGGCGCCTTGACAATGGAATCCTTGGGCCACTTCGAGCAAATCATTGTTTTCGTAATGCACATTCCAATGGCACGCAACATTTGTCGAAGGTATATATTTCTTGCAATCTGGTGTGTGCAATTCGCGGGTGCCTTTGGGGTGCCTTTCGGGTGCAGTGCGGGTGCCTAGGTGCCTTTTCCGGGTCCCCTCGCTAACGCTCACCGCTGCCCACGAAGGCTTCTCTAGGCTAACAGGGGGGCGCATACGCATGTTTTGCAGATTGGGTGGGGGGGGACGGGGCACGCAAGCAACAGGTCCCTGGATTGCTTGGCGCAGAACATCGTTGTTGCATCTGTAAGTTGGAATACCACGTTTAGCACTTTTCAACAATATGCGCTCCTGGAAATTGAGGGCCCCGATTTGCGGGTGCTCTTGGGGTACCGTTTCGGATGTTTTTTGTTTCGGGTGGCGTTCATGCTTCAGCTGAAACCGTTGTTGTTCCATGAATGGTTCCACCAGACGCAACGCAATGCTTTGGCCGTGTGCTAAGTTGCCACAGTGAACGGAATCTTCGGCGCGTATGCACGCACTGCATTTTCTGACATCAGCACGCAGGAACCTGAGGCCTTGCGTTCTTCCTGCCAATACGTACTTGCCTGCGACGTGGATGTTAACCCAAAGTTTCGCATCAAGATGAAAGCTAACCCGCGTGTCGTCGAAGCTGGATTGCCGCCGAGCGCAAAGAGATTGCGCAAGCGATAAGCATGCGATCGGTGAAGACCACTTCTGTTTCTTTAAACGTTCGCATGTGCAATAATCGCATCGTTCTACGTTTGCCATCCTTGCGCCATCGTCATCGCAATCCCCATGTCGATGCCTTCGATGGACGGACCGGTTTGCATCAGGCACCAAGTCGTTCGGGCGTTTGGAGCGCCACCGCGACTCCACGAGACCGTGCGTTGTGACACTGCGAAAACACACACATGTGCACACGCCCACGCCGTTTCGTCAATTCCGCAGGAGGGGGGGGGGGGCGGAAAAAAACACCGCTCGTGCCCCATTTGGGGCCCCAGGGGGTCCCCTCGGGGCCCCTGCGCTGCACGAGAGGTGCACTTGGTCTCCATCCCCCCCACTCGCCCCACGCAGAAGTGGCCCTTGTTGGAGGCCTAGAAATGAGCACCAACACCAACACAGGGGGTTGCCTCCACATGGGGAAAACGATCCTAGATTTCGGTGTTGGTGGCAATATTTCGGTCACTCTGGAAGCCAGAATATATTACCACCCTCGCCGAGATCGGGCTCGTCTTTCCTCGGTAGCTGCACACCGCCGATATTGGTGTTGGTGTCAATCTCTGGGCCTCCGACCTTGGCAAGAGTGACCTCTGGTGCACGGCGTCCGAGCGGCCCGAGGGGGCCAGACCCCCGGCGCGCGGGCCGCTGCTGCCGCCTCGCGCTCGCCCCATGTGGGCCCGCACCAAGAGCCGCTGCGGCGAATGGCCACTCCCACGTGCGGGCGACCACCACTTTGGACACCCGAAATGGGTACCGAAAGAATGGGTACAATGCCCAACAGCAAATGTTGTCCCAAACCATCAGCGGCCGCTGTTGGTTTGGCGGCCTTCTGTCTCAAATGGACACGGGCCGCGGCGGCGCGGACAGCGAGCCCTGTTCAGAATGAACAGGAACTGCTGTTGGGCATCGTGCCCATTCTTTCAATGCCCATCTCGGGCGTGCAGAACCAGGCAACGCCCGAGGATGGCGGCGCGCGCGAGGGGGCAGAGGGAGGGAGGGAGCCTTCCCAGAAGGAGGCCGCGCCTCAAAAGGCGTGGGCCTTGCACCTATCGACAAGGCCCGCGCCTTCTGAGAAGCAGGGGTGCTTCTGAGGAGCCTTCCTCCCTGCCCCTGCCCCCCTCTGCTCGAATAGTAGATCGACTGCAGAATTGATGTACTCAAGAACGATGTCCCCGCCAAATGCCACATGTGCAAGACACGCGTAGAAATCTTCGTACATCTGCGGGACAGTGATATGCGAATTGCTCCGCAGATTCGGCGGAAAATCAACTTTTGGGGTAGGTCACTTCTGTAGTCGATCCACTGCTCGATCTGCGCGTGGCCGACGAGGGGCGCGGCAGATTTAGGAAGGACTGACCGTCCTGGCATTCCTGTAGGCGTACCACGACGTGTTCTTAGAACCCCAGAATGATCTAATAACAAAACCATATCATTAGAGCATAAGACCGACGTGCTAGAACAAGACGGTCTGCGCCAGAACTGCTCCGAGAACACGAACACAGCTCGCGCAGACGACAAAAAAAGAGTTCTCAGAACATCCCCTGGTGGGCCTGTAGGCACGCCGGGGCTCTTCGCCGCTTTTTCCATGAGTGAAGGGGCCCTGGGACACACATAAAGAAATACACAAATAAGATGAGTCCCCCTATGTTCCTAGATTTTCTGGGTTCCTGTCTTCCCCCCCACTTCCCATATTTTCCCATATTTCCCTGTGGGTCGACGATTCATTCGTGTCTGTGTGTGTTTTTGTCCCCTCTTGAATTGAGGCTCCTCGCCGAGCGCCAGGCGGGCGGCGGGGGTCTGGCAGCGCACGAACTCCACCGCGCGCCGCGGCGAGGGCGTGGGCGGGCCCCCCGCGCCCTGCGGCTGGCGCAGCGCGGAGCGCATCTCGCGGCCCGCGCGCGCCCGCCGAGGGGGGTGCGCCCGCGCGTTTCCGCGCGCCAGGTCGGCGGCTGCAGCACTTTGAAAGGGGCCCTGGGGCACACAAACAAATGCACACGAATAACAAGAATCCCCGTATTTTCCCATATTTTCTGGGTTTTGTCTTCCCCCCCACTTCCCATGTTTTCCTATATTTTCTGGGGAATCGACGATTAATTGTGTCTGTGTGTGTTTTTCCCCTCCTGACTATATCAACCTCCGACCGAGGGCAGATCGGCACGCTCCTGGGGCGGGGCGGGCGACCCGGCGCCCCCGGCGAGGGAGGAGCGGGCCACCGAGGGCGATTAATCGCCTTGGCGGCGCGCGGGAGGGGGGGGGCAGGAGGTGCGAGGCAGGGATTTGTCCATAGCCACCGCCTGGGAGCCGACGTCCTGGTGCCCTCGCGGGCGATGGATCTGGATATACTTCGGCCCCTGGGGGCCCGAAGATGTCCACATCCGCCGCCTGCCGAGGCTCCGAAGACTGACCCGCCAGGCGGTGGTCATGTATACACTCCCGCCTCGGAGGAGGGGGGGGGAGGCGGGAAGGCGTCTTCAGAAGAAGACAGAACGGCGCGAACCGAAACTCCTGGCGCTCCCGCGGGTTGCTTGGATCTGCGCGGGGCCCCCCTTCCTGGCGCGCGGAGCGCGCCGGGGGCGGCGCCAGGGGGGGGCCCAGCGCGGGTCCAAGAAATCCCCGCGGAGTGCCAGAGGTTGATGTTCATGGTTTTTGTCCTGCTTCGCTTCGCAGACGGAGGCTTCGGGGACCCGCTGCCGCGGGTCCATGCAAGAACCCTGGCCGCTCGGGCGCTGCAGGGTCCTGCAGGATCCTGCACGGGAGCCCGGGCCAGGGCAGGATCCTGCAGGATCCGGTCCCGAGGCAGCATCGAATGGGGAGGAGGCGATGCATCGCCGATGGAACGGCGACAGACCCCCGATTCGACGGTGGACAAATCTCCCTTAAGTAAACCACCCTCTCGTGAAAACTGCCCGGGACCGAAACCGACGGACCTGGACCCGCAACAATGACGGCCGCGACGCCCAACTCGCGAACCGAAAACGGCCAACTCGCTAATCGACGTGTCAGGGTAGGAGGTCTATCTGAAGGGGCCCTGGGACACACAAACAAATACACACACAAATAAGAAGATTCCCCCTATTTCCCTTGATCTTCTGGGCTTCTGCCTTCCCCCCCCCCCACTTCCCATATGTCCCCATATTTTCTAGGGAGTCGACGATTCATTGTGTCTGTGTGTGTGTTTTTCCCCTCCTGACTATATCAACCTCCGACCGAGGGCAGATCGGCACGCTCCTGGGGCGGGGCGGGCGACCCGGCGCCCCCGGCGAGGGAGGAGCGGGCCACCGAGGGCCAGCACGTCCCCCATCGGAGCCGTTCCTATCGCGAACGCGGCCTCTGACAGCCTGCCTCCCCCTCCTCCTCCTCCTCCTCCTCCTCCTCCTCCTCCCTCCTCCTCCTCCTCCTCCCTCCTCCTCCTCCTCCTCCTCCTCCCTCCTCCTCCTCCTCCTCCTCCTCCTCCTCCTCCTCCTCCTCCTCCTCCTCCTCCTCCTCCTCCTCCTCCTCCTCCTCCTCCTCCTCCTCCTCCTCCTCCTCCTCCTCCTCCTCCTCCAACCAACGTAGCCTCCTTCGGGGGCGGCCAAGAGGGGGGCGTCCAAGAGGGGGGACGCAGATCATGGCCAGCGGCAGCGGCATGGGCGCGGCCCAGCGGGGGGGCCAGGGACGTATCGAAATAACTAAGAAGAGGCGCCATGAAATCTGGGGAGATCTCATGGCCCCCGCCCTGGTACCACCCCCCTAGTGATCACCCCCCTCTTTGCCGCCCCCGACTCCTGGGCACCCCACCTGCAGTGGAGGCCCGACCACAAGAAACCTGACACAAGAAAGCCAACCCTGAGACCCGAGGACGTCCGCTGGTTTTTGGCGCGGGCACGTCGCGCTCCTTACAGCAAAAGCATTGGAACCCGAGAAACCCAGGGCGCCCTTGAGGCAAGCAGGGTGTTTCTTGGCATGGGCATCCACTGTACTCCCCAGGACCAGTCAGCATCGAATCAGGACGTCGGGTCGGACCGGAGCGTGCGTCGGACCGGGCCGCATCGGCACGGGTCTGGCATCGAAACGCACCCACCGCGCCAGAGTACAGAATAGCGCTGAGCCTGTACGAGTATCGGTCCGCGTAGGATCGTCGAAAGATCGGAATCGAATCGGATCGAGCCGGACAGGTAGACATCGAATGGGATCGATCAGATAGAAACTGACCCTGGAGGGCGCTGTGGGGTCATAGTTCAAGATCTTCGGCAGGCGCAGGGCCGGATGTCGAAAAACAAATCAGCCGCGTAAGCATCAGCTTTCGGTGGCCCGCGCGGATTTCTTGGGTCGGCGCTGGACTCCCCGGCGGCGCGTCCTGCGCAGCCGGAGGCGCGCTCCGCGCGCCTGGGAGTTTGTCCAGCGCCGATCCGAGAAATCCGCGCCGACCTCCGAAAGGTTACCTTTATTCGGGGATGGACAGAACCCCCTTTAGCAAAACGTGGTTTAGTGAAAACGACCTCGGGCCCAAACCCGGCGGGCGCAAGCCTGGAAAATAACGGCCACGGCGCCCTCTCGAAAGCCGAAAACGGACAATTCACTAATCGACGTGTCACTGTTGGGGGTTCTGTCCAGCCCCGATTTATGCACTTGTTGTATTACTCTGGGATCAGCTCAGGGGGGACGTTTCAGGTTCAACGTTCATGGTGTTCGGGCGTTCTCGTCGGTCCTCGGCGGTGCTCCCGCCCCAGAGAGCCTTCCAGCAGCTACGTCTCGCCGACATCGTTTTCCAGGGGTGCCCGGATCGTCCCGACGGGCCGCCCGAGAGTCGGGTCGTGACCCGAAGAACCCAGGGAAAACCATAGGGGGAACCAGCTCGGGGGAGTGGGACGTCGACCTGAGATCAGCGGTGCATCGCGGATGGGTCGGCGACGGCGTGTCGATCGCGAAGCGCCCATGGGGCCCGGGCGGGGTGGGCCATCGGGCCCCCACCGGCGATCAGTGGGCGATGGGGGCCGGGGCATGCCCCACTGGAGCCCGGGAGGCGGCCGGGGGGGTTCTGACTTGACTGGGGCCCCAGAAGTAAAAGGGCCCTGGGACACACGAATAAATAGACACAAACAACAGGAGTCCCCATATTTTCCCATGTTTTCAAAGTTTTCGCCTTCCCCCCCACTTCCTACATTTTCCCATATTTTCCTGGGAGTGGAGGATCAATTGTGTCTGTGTGTTTCTTTCCCTCCTGAAGAAGATCGTCCAGGAGCGGTGGATTAAGCCAAATCGTCTCAAAACCAGTCCCCAGACCCCTGCCAGGGTCCAGGGTTCACACATCTGTGGTCGGGTTCCCGGTCGAGGGCCCCGAGACTGGGTGCCCCGTTATATGCATGTATAGTCCCCGTCCTCCTCCTCCTCCTCCTCCTCCTCCTCCTCCTCCTCCTCCTCCTCCTCCTCCCTCCTCCTCCTCTCCTCCTCCTCTCCTCCTCCTCCTCCTCCTCCTCCCTCCTCTCCTCCTCCTCCTCCTCCTCCTCCTCCTCCTCCTCCTCTCCTCCTCCTCCTCCTCCTCCTCCTCCTCCTCCTCCTCCTCCTCCTCCTCCTCCTCCTCCTCCTCCTCCTCCCTCCTCCTCCTCCTCCTCCTCCTCCTCCTCCCTCCTCCTCCTCCTCCATCCTCATCATCATCATCATCATCATCATCATCATCATCATCATCATCATCATCATCATCATCATCATCATCATCATCATCATCATCATCATCATCATCATCATCATCATCAGCATCATCCTCATTATCATTATCCTCATTATCAGTTTCATGATCATCAGTATCAGCATCCGCATCAGTATCAGCATCATCATCACCATCATCAACATCGTCAGCATGATGATCCTCGTCATCATCATCATCATCCTCCTCTTCCTCATCAACATCCTCCTCATCATCATCAATCAGCATCAGCATCATCAACATCATCATCGTCGTCGCCGTCATCATCATCCTCATCATCATCATATTACCAATCGACATGTTCATCATCATCATCAGCAGCAGCAGCAACAGCATCAACATCATCACCATCATAAACATCACCAGCATCATCATCCGCATCGTCATCATCACCATAACCACCACCACCCATATCATCATCATCATCATCATCATCATCATCATCATCATCATCATCATCATCATCATCATCAGCAGCACCTCCACCATCATCATTATAATCGTCACCATCACAGCATCAACACATCATCAGATCAGCATCACCACCACCATCACCATTCCCCAGCATCACCATAAGCATCATGATTACCATCATCATCACAAGCACCACCACAATTATCATCATCACATCATCCTCATCAACATCACATCATCACCATCACCGTCATCATCATCATCAACAGCAGCGTCAACATCATCATCAACAGCATCAGCATCAGCATCATCATCATCATCATCATCATCATCGTCATCATCATCAGCATCATCATCATCATCACCATCAGCATCATCATCATCATCATCTTCATCATCTTCTTCATCATCATCATCATCACCATCATCATCGTCGGCATCGTCATCGTCATCATCACTGGGCGTGCAAAGCCGTCCCTGCAGAACGCACACATCCCTGCAGCACACACACACAGACACACACACACACAAACACACACACACGCCAGCCCTCCAGGGTCAAAGGGGAACTGGAGAGGGAGTCCCACATTTCAGTCGCCGGTGGCCAGCGATAGGGGAGGAGTGTAACCCCGATACCCGAGGGTCTCGGCCAATCGAAAGGGTTACTTGGGAGCTTCCGGACCGACAAGGGTGAGAGTGGGAGGGGGAAGGAGGCGGAGGGTAGGGACAGGGGGGAAGGGGGGGAAGCAAGAAAGTGGCACTTCCCTACCACTGTCTCGCGCTGTCGTACGCAACCATGGCGTTTTCCTGCCACCACCCTGCACGCAGCAACATTACTCACTACGTCGAGT